CTCTGGGTTTCTTAGGTTTGGCACTATTGACATGGTGAGCCAGATGATTCTTGGTTGTAGGGGGCTGTCCCGTGCATTGCAGGATGTTTGGCAGCATCTCTGGCCTCCACCCACGACATTCTACCAGCCTTTCTTCTCATTTCCTGGCTGTGACAGCCAAAAGTGTCGCCAGACATTTTTTTTAATTCCTCAGTTTTAACTCAATATATATGGTAATAAATGGCAAATATGAATAGACATAACTCAGATAAACAAAAAGTCGTTAGGGTCTTCTATGATTTTTGAGAGTAAAGAAGTTCTAAGACCACAAAGTTTGAGACCTGCTGCTCTATTTTGTATTCACAGAATATTTATAATGTTTATGTTGCTAAGTCAAAAATAGTGAAATGAGGGGCACCTGGATGGCTCATTCGGTTGAGCTGCTCAGGTCGTAATCTCACAGTTCAAGCCCCACATCAGGCTCGGTGCCAACAGCTCGGAGCCTGGAGACTGCTTCGTCTTCCTCTCTCTGTGCCTCCCCTGCTCAGGCTCTGTCTCTCTCTGTCTGTCTCTCAAAAATGAATAAATGTTTAAAAAAATGTTTAAAGAAAATAAAAAAAATAATGAAGTGAAAAGGACCATGCAACTGATGATGAACAAGATACAGAAACAAAAATTGGAAAAATATGTGTGTGGGTGGGTTTGAGTTTTTTGATGGGAGGGGTAGAGGGTATCGCCAGTGAAGACACAGCTTTAGAGACAGAGAAAGCATATGTGACCTTGAGCAAGTTAGTCTTTGTATTTGTGCTTCAGTTTCCTCCTTATAAAATGGCAGTGATCACAGTACTGACTTCAGAATATTAATGGGAGGATTACATGAATAAACACATAAAAAGTGTGTAGAATAGGCTTTGCACTTAGATGAAGTATACTCTGTGGGTCAGCTATTAGTATTATTATAATAAATAATTTGTCAGAAAGGACGAGGTCAGGCCTTCAATTAAGGCATACAGGTGCTGCTGACCTTACCGCCAGCAGAAAGACAAAGCAGAAAAAATGAAGTCACTGGCTCCCTAGAGACAAAATGTCATGGAGCCCAGAAAGAAATCAGAATCTCCTCACCCCCTTCTTACCCTAACACCACACTTTCTAGTCCAAAATCCATCTGTTACCCCTGTAAGGTACATGAACATCCTCCAAGGTTTCAAAACAAACGATGTGAGGTTGGCTTGGTTTCATATGTTAGTTCCAGAGCAGTTATAACTTTGCTTGTTCCTGCATTGTGATTAATTTTCCCTTCAGCTCAATTTGGCTGCCAGAAGATCATCCAGAATTGTGTTGATTTCAGCAAATACCCACATAGTCACTTTCACCTTTGGGAAGACACATGCTTTAAAGCAAGTGCTTGCTAATTTTCATAGTGAGAAAAATCCTTAATAAAACTATAGGGACACTTGGATAAGCAAATGAAATTTGCAGCATGATTTTAAAAAAATGCTGAAGAAGAATCTGATTCTGAAAATGAGGAAGCTACCTGAAATGTGAAATTATGTTCTCAGTAGTAAAGTGACCCATCTCCTGTGTTCTCCTATCTTCCTACCTTCCTGTTTCATGCAGGACAAGTTTTATTGTCATTGTTTACTATGGCTATTGAGAATGTTGGGTTAGATTCTAAAACCTAGTTGAATCCAAATGTCACCTTTTCTGTGAGATCTGACGACCCTACACTATTTAACATTGACTTCCCTCCCTGCACCTCCCTGTCTTGCTTCATTTTTCTGTAAGGCATATTTCTTCATCCAATACATTACATATTTTACACACGTATTTTTTTATTGTCTGCTTGACTCATTGATGGCAGAGGTTTTTATCCTTTTCCTTGAATAATGTGTTCCTAGCTTCTGAAAGAGAGCCTGGCACGTGGTAAGTACCCCCACATTAAACTTTTGCCTTTATTTATTTATTTATTTATTCATTCATTCATTCATTCATTCATTCATTTATTTTTATTTTGAGAGAAAGAGAGTGCACGCATGCCCCCATGTGAGCGTGTGGGGTTAGAGAGACGAGGCAGAGATAGAATCTGAAGCAGGTTCTGTGCTCTCAGTGTGGAGCCCAACACAGGGCTTGATCCCATGAACCATGAAATCATGACCTTAGCTGAAATCAAAAGTCAGATGCTTAACCAACTGAGCCACCCAGGCACCCCTCAGCTTTTGCCTCTAAACAGGAAATGGAAAATGTCTCTCTGATGTATTGCATACTGTGAATTCACATATGGAGACCTCGCATGAATGACAGCATCTATGTTTTGCAAAAAACTTATTTGACTCAAGAGCATTTAAGTGTCATTCTGCAACCTGGCAATTGTATGAGCCAAAGTATAAAATAGGCTTTTAGGAACTTGTTCCAATGGTCTCTATTTTTTAGTCATCTAATATTCTTATCCTTTAATGAATAAATGTCTCTTCAGTTAGCTGTCCAGGTCATGAAATATGAGCCTCTACCCCCACACCCAGACAGAGCACTGTGATTTAGAGGTTGTTAACAAATGATTATTAAGGGATTGATTGGCAGATGTACTCCACATCCCCAAGAGATGTGTTCCACTGCAGTTGTACATGCAGTCTTTGAAAATCAAGTTAAGTAGTAAGGACTAGGGAACTTCACTACTTAAATCTGTTCTATAATAAATATTTCTTGTAAAGCACAAAATTCCTTTGCAACTACATATTTTATTTGTAAAGTCATATTTTGGCATACAAGGTTTGCTTAAATTAGTGAATCAAGACTTATACTCTGGGTGTAGACTCTACAGGCTCAGTTCTGTGCCAGGCTGATGATTGATGTTGAGAAATAGCCCCTTTAGGAGACCTGACTCGGGTATGTAACCATTAGTGAATTATAATTGGAAGGAGGGATTGCAAGTCTCTCAAAGGCAGAGTCTACCTCTTATTCACCTTTGTCATCTAGAATCTAGCACAAGCATATTTTAGGCATGCAATACCTATCTGGTGATTGAATAAAAGCATGAATACACAATTGATCAAATGTAATCAGGTACTAACAAGATTTTTAAAAAGTCTATAATGCAGTGAAAATTCAGACAGAAGAGGTCACTAGGAATGGCTGCATGGAGGAGATAGGACAGAAGTTACATCTGGAAAGAAATTAAGGTTTCAAGTGCAAGAACAAAGGGTAAAAGGGAATGCCTAGCTAGAAAAGTAATTTAGACCTGTACACCTATCAGTCTAAAGGATATTGAACATCAACTTCCAGCATATATTTATAATTACATGTATATTCTGCTATATTAACATAATGAGTAGTTTTTAAATACATTTTAAAACTGGACTTTTAAAGAGGAATTAAAGATGAAATAAGTCATGTTTTAAATTATCTTTATTTATTGTATATCATTATTTATATTGGGTATAAATGTACAGTTCAAACAACTCCCTTGATAATTTTGAATTTTTTTGGCTAACTTCCAGCTATGTTGGATTAAATCATGGTGTCTCATGGCTCATGTGAAGATATAGGAGACCTACCGGCAAAGATATTTACTTGTTACTCACCCATGCCTGAGTTCATATGATCCTTCATCTTCCGTTTCCCTGAAGGAACCTAGTTCAGTTACTTGAGAGCATTAACTTGATTAAACGTAGATAATATAATCTACTCACTAGACCAGTAACCTAGAATCCATAACATGTTGGAAGATGCTTAAAATGAACAAATGAGTGAGACTAACCTGTGGAGAGGATGGAAACCTTACACACCGGTGTGATACCTGGCATTGTCTGATAGAAGGATGGATCAGGGGTGCCATTGACCAGCCTCTTCCTTGCAGGCAGTTACTGAGTCACAGACATGGAGACTGGAGGACACAAAGTTGGGAAGAGTAGATGGATAGGGCTAGATTTTTATTGGTAGTTGAGGGGTTTTGACCTGATGAGATAGGCAAATGTGATTATTCATGTATTTTTAAGAAAAGAATACTGGGGAAAAAAGTTTTATTTTAAAAAAGTTTGTCCTGAAAATAAGGAAAAAATTAAAATCTCAAGCTAGTTCAGAGGCATTGTGAATGAGACATTATTTAGCTCTAGCTAGCTCTCTCAGCTCCCCATAGAATTGTCATCTGCTGGTCATGGGACTGTAATTTTCCTTTAAAATATAGGTTTTTGTTTTTCACTGTTCTTCTGTTCCCCTTTAGCTTCACTTGATGTATACTTGACTAGTACAATTGTAAGATATTTAAAAGGTACAATGTGATTATTTGATATACATATTCATCATGAAGATGTTTCCCCCACATTGAGTTAACTGACGCATCCATCACCACACATATTTACCTTTTTTGGAGAAAGGGGTGAGAACATTTAAGTTCTATTTTCAGCAAATTTCAATTATACAATATAGTATTATCAATTACAGTCACCATGTTATATGTTAGATCCTCGGACCTTATTCAACTTATAGCTGAAAGTAAGTTTGTACCCTTTGAACAACTTCTCACTATTTCTCCCACCCACTCCAGTCCCTGTTTCTATGAGTTCAACTTTTTTTTTTTTTTTTTTTTTTAGTTCCCACATATAGGTGATACCACATGGGATTTGTCTTTCTCTGTCTGGCTTATTTCACTCAGCATTATGCCCTTCATGTTCATCCATGTTGTTGCAAATGGCAGAACTTCCTTCTTTTTTATGACATGATTATGGATGAATAGTATTCCATTGTGTATGTATACCGCATTTTCTTTATCCATTCATCCTTTAATGGACACATAGGTGGTTTCCATGTCTTGGCTATTATGAACAATGCTACTCTAAACATGGGAGTACAGAAATCTCTTTGGGATAATGATTTTGTTTCCTTTGGATAAATACCCAGAAGTGGGATTGCTGGCCATATGATAGTTATATTTTTCATTTCTTGAGGAACCTCCATACTGTTTTCCATTGTGGCTACACCAGTTTGCATTCCCAACAGCGTACACTGGTCTTCATTGTTCTTGGCAGGAGAGAGCCAGGAGCTGCCTGCCATTCCTGGTGAGTCAGCTGGCCAACATGGAACATTCGTTTCATCATATTCTCCTGCTGGAGATTAAGAGCATCACTGATGCTTTCTCCTCCATCCTGGGCCCTCAGAGCAGAGATATCTTCCGCATGAGCAACAGCTTCACTGCCATTGCCAAGCTTCTTACCCAACAACTGGAAACTACCAAGGCCAGAAGCAGCAGGTGAGCAGGAGGTCCTTTGTACCTGAGGGATATGTCATAAACCCATGGAAGCATAGCACAGGCAGTAACAGTTTCTTTTGTAGGCATTCAACTTCCCAAAGAAAACCAAACCCACTAACGATCTCAATGCAGAGTAACTTCTGAATAAATTATGGCATTTGCCAGAATTTTTTTTAATTTATGAAAACCAGAATGTAACAAAGGATTTTCTAGAAAGTGAACAAAATATGACAAAGGAATAAGAATGTAGTACAAATAATGATATTTATAACACTCACTTATGTAGTCAACAAGTGTTTAGCAATTGCTTACTCTGTACCAGGAACTCTGTTAGAAGCTAGACATATATAGAGAGATAAAATATATTCCTTGTACCCAGAGAAAGCTCACTTTCTTTTTTTAAAAAAACTTTTTAATGTTTCTTTATTTTTGAGAGAGAGAGGGCAGAGGAGGGGCAGAGAGAGAGGGAGACACAGAATCCAAAGCAGGCTCCAGGCTCTGAGCTGTCAGCACAGAGCCCAATGAGGGGCTCGAACTCATGAGCCATGAGATCATGACCTGAGCCGAAGTCGGACGCTTAACCAACTGAGCCACTGAGGCACCCCTAAAAACCTCACTTTCTAATAGGGGAGATAAATATTTAAGTGGCTAAGAGAATAGTGGGAAGGTTATGCTTAATCAAGATGCAGCCAAGGAGTCCGGGGACCATAGAGATAGGGATATCTACTTCTGTATGGAATGAAGAGGAATAGGAAACTGAGATCAGGGAAGGCTTCCCAGAAGAGATGATATTTTGAGCCAAGTCCTAAAAGATGACCAGATTGCACCAGGCAATCTTCTGGGCAGCATGTGAAAGAGCACACACTTTCTAGAAACATAAGCCATTCTGTATTGCTCGGATATGTGTTAGAAGGTAATGTGAGTGAAGTGGTAAGCAGGGACCAGATGATGTTGCGTCTGACCCCTTCCTAAGGAGTTTGAATATTACTCAGTAGGCTAATGAAGAATCATTGTGGAGGTTTGTACATGGCAGGATATTATCAAAATCCATGTTTGAGGAAGCTTACTCTGATTCCAGTGAAGAGAATGTCTCAGAAGAGGCAGACTGAAGTCAAGTCCAGTGAGGGAAGGACAGAAGAGTGTCTCTGGGTATTGGCCATAAGGAAATTATTGAAGATTCTGAAGAGTGAGCTGCCAGTGGTATGGCTGGGGTTGAAAGGAGAGAGTGAATACAATGCATCAAACTGGCCCTTTCAAGAGGTTTGTGGGGAAAAAAATAAAGATCATGCGAGACTGAGGAAGAGGTTTTATTTTATTATCTTGCTATACTTTGAACACAGATGTCTTAGAAGTTAAAAAAATTTTCAAGTATGTACTCTCATTTGATACTCATGACCACCCCCACAAGGCAGATATTATTCCTATTTTACAGAAGAAGAAACAGAGGGTTACAGGTGAGTTAAATGTCTTCCCAAGGTTACACAGTGAGTAGGTGATAGAGGATGGACTCAAACCTTAGCTTCACACTTCAGATCCTATACACTGGAAGGTATTCAATTCTAGAGAAGGGACAGGGCTAATGTGAGACTAGTGTCAACTTTTGTGACTTTTTGGGGGTATCAAATGATGCATACCATTTCTAGTATGAAATAAGGATTCCCAAAATAAAAGAAGGCATCTTGACAAAATAGTGAGCATTTAATCATGAGGGTCCACTTTATGTCCAGCCTGGCACAAAGTCTGGAGGTTCCAAGAGATATAAGACACCATCCCTGCCCTCAAGAGGTCTGTAGACAGGTATGCAAAGAGGTTCTGGTAGAAGTGCATACAACAGACTGTGGAGCATGAGAGATATATTGTCTAACAGCCAGGAAATTACAGAATGTTTTACAGAGAAGGTCAAATTTAAGTTCATACCATATTTATTGAGTAGCTTCATGGGCCGGGCATTTCTCTAGATACTAGATTAAGTCGCACAGGATGAATGAGAGTTTCTCAGACAAGGGTAGAAAGGTTACTCCAAATACAGAAAAGAGCATGTGCAAAGATACACGGGCTTAAGAGTGTGTGACCCAAAGTAAGGAAAAGTAATTGGTTCATTGTGGTTGAAGCAAGTACATCAGGGTAGGGTGGGAGAGTAAGCTGAAATGTTAGGTCAGAGGCAGATTATCAGAGGCTTTGCACACTGTGTCGGGAAGTGAGGCACTCATCCCTTAAGCAGTATGGAGGCTTGGAATGATTTTTATCCAGGGAGTGATCACAGCTCCTAACAGAGTAATTAGCAGATGGTAGGCCCTTTTAAATGTTTCTTCACTGAAGGACTAGGTAAATGAGGAAGTGGCTCAAGATGTGGAGCACTGAATGGGTTTGGCTGGAGCAGCAGGAGAGTGACCAGGATGCTATCGTTGGAGCCCGAACAACAGGCTCTTTCAACTAAAGAGCCTAGACTAAATCATTAATGGAGGACCTAAGAAGTCAGGGCAAATCATTATAGTGAGGAGAGCACAGAATTATGAGGAATCGATTACCAGTAGGAAGGTAGGATGAGGAGAAGAGGGGGAGAGTAGATAAAACCCAGAGATACATAGTTTGAGTGACTGCATACATACGGAAGATGATGTTAATAACCATGAAAAGAGGAGCAGGAGGGGGCCCAAATGGCAGGCTCTTTTAGCCCCCTAAAGCCCACGGAGATATTATGTGGCCAATAGGGCCATCAAAGTCAACAATAGCTATTCATCCAAAGAAGACTAATTGCAAGTGCCCTTTTCTCTCAACACCATAGTTTTGATCTGTTGTTGCCTGGCTCAATATATAAATGCTTGTAAACCAGGGTTTCTAATTTTGGTTCTATTGAAATTTGAGCTAATTAATCCTTGGTTATGGGGCTGTCCTGTGCATTATAGAATAGTTGTCAGCACCCCTGGACTCTGTCCACTAGATGCTGGTAGCAGTCCTCCCCCTAAGTTGTGGCACCAAAAATGTATCCAGACATTGCTAAATGTCCCCTGAGAGGCAAAAATCGCTTCCAGTTGAGAACTACCACTATATACATATTCCATTCAAAACAATAGCATTTTAACAGACTCACGACCTGCCTAGCAACAGCCTAAAGAAAGCGGTATCCAAGAAATCCAAGGCCTGCATCACAAAGGGGTGATTTGTCATTTGTATGCAAGCACAAAGTCACCGTTGGCCAATTTTCATGATGTGGTTTTAGAAATTTGGTTGAGAGCCTCTACAGCAGGTGTTTGGAGGAGCCATTTTGTATTCTGTGCACAGCCAGCCTGCTTATTTCTTCTTCCAGTGATGAGTGACATGTGTATCAGATGTGAAAGCTTAGGCACACATTCTGGCCAGTGTTCTATGTGTTCTCTATTGCTTCTACAAATGCAAAGCTGCACGAGGCCAGTTGGCATCTGTAAGAGTATATATTGAAAAATATTTACATAAAGGAAAAACACGTTACACAATAGTGTTACATTGGGCACTCTAACAAGAAAATTGACCCTTAATAAATAGGCCCAATCTCAGATGCCTAGGTGGCTCAGTGAGTTAAGCATCCAACTTTTGATTTAGGCTCAGGTCATGATCTCACAGTTCATGAGTTCAAGCCCCATGTCAGGCTCTGCTCTGTGTCAGTGTGGAAGCTGCTTGGAATTCTCTCTCCCTCTCTCTCTGCCCCTACCCCACTTGTTCGTTCTCTCTTTCTCTCTCTCTCTCAAAAATAAATAAAACTTAAAATAAATAAATAGGCCCAATCCAATTAGCGATAAACACTTTCCCCATGAAAAGAAGAGTTTAGGAGATATGTACAGAGGAGGAAAATTATAAGGTTTTACTATTAAAATATGAATCTGTATGTATGAGAATGCATTTCTATTTCTCCTCCTTTTGTTATTTTTCTGGGGAAAAAAACACAAAGAGAAAAATTAAATGTGACGAGATCAAAACATCACCACTCACCTCCATCCTCAGTACTTCAGCCTTTCTCAATTCAAAATATTCACTCCGCCAATGTTCAATACTCACTGTCAGTCTTCCACTCGACTGTAATTATTCAGTGGGAACCTCAAAACACTGGTGTGGACAGCCAGCCTTTTGTATCAGCTGCTCATCCTCTCTGGGATGGTTGCTAAGGCTTCTCTCTGAACATCTTTTCCCTGAATAGCCTTCATTGTGACCACTTAGCTTCAGTAATTTTAATCTGTGTCCCCCACAGAAGAAAGGTCTATACTTTTGTCTAAAGTACCCAACAAAGTCTGATCTTTACAATTAAAGGGGAAATGAATAAGTGAAGAGAGTTTGAAAGAAAATTAAAGATGATAAAATTCAAAACAGATGTCATCTAATTCACAAATCTGACACATCGCCCAGCAGGCCAGATTTTAGACTTCAGGCCAAAAATACAAGATTATCAAAAGAAAAACAATTAGCATCCTAGAGAGAATAAAAACCTGAAGTAGACAGGCACCTTCTTTGTGCCAAATCATTCTGAATTAACTGGGTGAGTTTTATTAGATGCACCAGGTAACATACTTGCACTTTTTTTGTTCCTATGTTTTAAAAAGAATGTCTATATCTAAACAATAAACCAATAGGAGCTAAATAACAGGACAGCCAAGCAAAACATTTAGAATTTGAATCTAATTCTGGAGGAGCAGAAAGAGGTAAGAGCAATTGTGGATTAAAAAGGAAGATGTCAAGATAAGGAAAAAGATCTATACCTTTCGAAATTGTGGGAGCCCTAAATCGCCTTCTGGGAAGCCACTAACCATTGAACCATATGCCATCCAGGACCAGGGGAATCTAGGGAAGGAGAGGGTGAGCTTCTGGCAACTGTGTGCTGGCTGAGCATTCAAGTGGTCCTTTGACTAGAAGACATCTTTGCCCCGTGCATGTGATTCCAGAGAGGCTGCTCTAATCAGGCACCATCAGATTTGGGGACGGTTTGTCCCGGGTGGTCTTAGTAGATATTTAGGCTCAGGCCCCAGTTGGTG